TAAATCCTGAAGGAAAATGTCATTTCCCTTCTCAGAAAGGTGAACGCCATCACCCCTGTACAGGTCCGGCCAATCAAGCCAGATCTGGGGGTGAGGCAAATAGTGGCCCAACCCAACCTCCAAATTATTTTGAAGATCCCCATTGGGCTTGTGCTGAGCTCTCTCAATCCCCTTGGGATCCCAAGTGCTACGCCATACTAGGCGTGGAATCATGGCAGGCCACACAATTGCTGTGTCTGACCACTGGCACTGAATGTACTTCAGGTCATCCCAGGCTTGCAGCACTAGGGCCTTCCCCTTCAGGAATCCTAAGTCTATACCTCCCAGGTGAATGACCAAAACCTGGGAAGGAAAGCCAGAGCTGTCCCCAAACAGAAGAGGGAGGAGGCCCAACCAGTGTAGGCCCTGGTGCCCCCTCCACTCGACAGTGGCCCATCGGCTGAGGCCAAGCTGCGAGCTGACGGCCGGTCTATTGGCCCGATGAGCTGCCCAAAAGATGTAGCTGTGTCCGGAGATGAGAATCTGTCTCCTGCCACAAAACACAGCACCTAAGAAGAAACAACAGTGAACTCTGGAACCCAACAATGCAAACATCAGCAATCTCTAATATAGCAAGGGGGTGCACATAACTCTTATAAGCAGCTGATTACCAGCTGCCCACCCACTGAATGTCAACAGTGGGATAGCCTAAAGCTGCTGCTGTGGATGCTGCACCTATTCTGAATGAATGAGTGCCAAACTTCACTCCAGAAAGGCCTAACAATCCCAAAGCCCTGGCCATAATGGCCCAAAACTGGTGCTTTGTCAGCGGGCTCCCGTCTGCATGTATAAAGAGGTACCTGTCCACCCTGCCCCTTAAAGCCCTGTATTGAGATAAAGCCAATAACGGGCAGAGTTCCGTGTTAGAACAGACACCCAGCGTAACCACTGACCCTTTATGTCGCTGGTCAGTCTTGGAACCCCTAATCGTGATGTGCACCTCCTTACCTATAAATTACAGATCCCTATTGTGCAATGCCCTGCCAGACTGATCAGTCTTGGACAGAGCTACCAGCTCACTTACTCTAAGCACTCCAAAAAATGCAAGGAGCGATGCAGCATGGAAAAGGCAGGCTTCATAACCTGAATTGCAGATGCTGGTCCAGGTTGCTTGCAACCCTTTCAGCACTGCCAGTGAAATAAGATGCCTCTGGTCCTTCACAGCCCCCTTTTCCCGGGTCCAACCCTCTAACATCTTCCTAATACAAAAGTCACCTGTGACTTCCTGAAATGGAAGGGCAGAAAGGCGCCCCCGTATGGAGCTCTTGGCCAAACCTGCCTCTTTTAAGGAAACAGAATAATGGAACAACTGCTCCACTGAAATGAGCCAGACCTTAGCATAACCCTCCTGTTTCCTTAACTCTTTGAATTGGTGAACTGCATGTTCATACCCTCTTCACGTGCTAGAGACAATGGCAAGGCCTATCGCCCTGCAAGCCTCGGCCCTCCAACCTGCCATAGCTCCAGGGAGATCCTTGCTGGCAGAAGAATGGCGTCTGGAGCAAGCTGACAAAACCTCGCCATCTGTTTGCGAGAGAGAGCGTCAGCTACCCCGTTATCCACCCCCAGCACATGCCTAGCTAGAAATAATGTGTTAAGCCTAAGGCACAGAGTGACTGAAAGGGGAGAGCGCAGCCGCTCCCTCTTTAGGAGTCCAGGCTGCAACTGCAGCCCTTCCCCCTTCCTCCTCTCAAGGAGGCAAAGGCGTCCCTCATGAAGCATGCCTTTGGCTGCTTCATGTAGAGCTGGAATCTCAAGGCCTCAGTTTCAACACCTGAGTCTCAAGTGAGGATGCTGGTATTAGAACACCATCCATGATTCCCCTAAGGTACTCCCCAAGCCACCCCACTCTAAAATAACCTAAAATACTCCCCAAATTACTCCAAGAGATTCCCTCAATTTAGTAATGCACCCAGATAATGTTTGGACTTAGTAGACTGTCCTCAAGAAATTAATATCAAAAGAATGACCTCTCCCCTTTAATTTCTATGTTAGGTTTCATTGTAAGCTATAAAAAGGGACTGTAAGATCAAGCACACTTATTGGTCCAAACAGACAAATGCACATATGTTACTTTTGCAAATGCCACAGTAGATTTCAGTCTAGTATTCTTGTGAAATCTGCAGGAACAACTAGTAATAATGGATTTTCACTGAGGTATAGACCACAAGCCTCTTTCTCATCCAGATCCGCATGCTAGTTTATAGTTTTCATAAACCACAGTAGAAGGCTGAACAGCACAATAGCAGATCAATAGTTAATAGTGGGGAAAAAGAGAAGGCAGTTTATTGTAAGTTATCTGAAAAAGCCATTGAGCTCCAAGGATTATCTGGCATGTTCTACCATATCAGTGCAAAATAAGAATTGTAGCTAATTAAAATAAATAAAATAAATAACTCTTGCTAACTGCCAAGGAACTCAGTTTTCCCCTAACAATGATATCCTGGGCTGCATGAAAAATTATCTGATCTCATTGTATAAAACTACCCAGAGAAAATACAAGAACACTGTAATAGCACAATACTGTTTCTAATTAGGGGGGAAAGTTGCAAAAATCACACAGGGCAATTACCATCTGGTTATTGTTTGAAATACAATCATTTTTGATCCTAGCAAAGAATGAATAAAGCTGTAAAACCTTTTAAAATCCAAGAGGCTTGCTATGCATTATTTCTTTGTTCAGATGCCTCTTTTTATTAGAACTGTCAATTAATACACTTTTGGGATCAATAAAATACAAATAAAAACTCAGTGTTCTGACTTATCTATCTTCTGGTACCTTCCAGACACAAAAAGTGGAAAGAGCATATAAATAAACCAATTCCACCTTGCATGGCTTTATACTGTACCTGAGATATGCTGATTTGTGGAATTGATTTCATGCATTTTGTGGTGTGTAAGTTAGCTTTAATGAGCTGATGGATTAATTAACAGCCCCTCTTAATAATTGTCTACCCAGGCTAACTTGACTTCTAAAAATAAGTGTGTGTCATTAACATTATGCAGAAAATCAGGTCAGCATTTCAGCTCAGTTTTTAACAGCAAACTAAGCCATTCGGTGAACCCAAGCTGAGTCTGAAGCTCATGTCTACCATGCATAAACCACAGGTCACCACAAGCAGTGCTGAGTTTGGCATGTGGCAAAACAGCCATGTTGAAACTGTTTTAAGCTCAACTTACAGAAAACATACATGAAGCCAATGGTGGGGGAAGGTATTGAGTTAGAAATCTCCACTGATGGAAGGGATTTCCATCAGTGAATCAGGACTTCCTTGCCTTCCTCATCCGCTGCAGTCACCCCTCACAATACTGCTTCTAGGGAACAGAGGAACCTCAGGGAAAGTATGGGAAGGAGTCAGAGGTCTGCGCAGCAGAAGTGGGGAAATCAGCACAGTTCTGCTGGATCCCAGCCACCAGATTTTTGAAAGCCAGAGAGGATTTGTTTTATGCAGGACCATGGGAGCTAATTTCTCATGGCTCCCAATCTCTCTGGAGTGCAAGGCGGAGCTTTTCAGAAGCTCCTTTGTGGTGAATAGTAGTTTCATGCTGGTACTGAGTGACATTTTAATTATTTGTTGTATACGTCACATTTTAAAGACCCAAAACTGTGGCAAGCATTTTAGGAAAAGCGACATAGAAATCTGTTAAATAATGAATAAACATACGTAAACTTCTGCAAACATGTGCAGTAGCATCCACTGCACTGGAGCCTAATCAGCCGTCGGCAAAAATGGCACTGGTGGCAACAAGAAGGGCTCTAGTAGGTTCTGTGGCACGGCCTGGGAACCAAAGCGCCCTGACTTCCAGTTGTAATATCCTCCCACAAGTTCTTTGACTGTATTATTTAAAGACAGGCTGCAGCTCCCTTAGTTTGCCTCTGCATAATGTGTAACATTTTGCTAATGTGGTTATTCCCCCCTCTGTCCCCCAAAGGCCAGGAGGCACTATTATTTCTTATTTATCACACTTGTATCACTTTCTTACACAACAACAGACCTCAGATCAGCACAAACAGCATTACCCTGTTTTGTCCTGCAATAGCCTGCATGGCAGTTTTTGTTTCCCCCAGAGTGACAGTGATATGCCCAAAAGCATTCAGTGCACTTTATGGCTGAATGGGGAATTCCAGCTCATGTATTTCCAGTCCATATCCAGCACTGTATACACTACATCCCATTGGGTCTATGGATTGTGGCAAAGAGGTAGCTCTCCAAGCTATACCAAGAAGTAGATGTTGGGAACAATAACAACATAGGAAACTCTTCTCTATGTCTTGCCATAGAATTTTCCACATTGTTTTAACTCTCTGATACTTAAAAAAACCACTGTAACAGACTTTTAATATGTTTTTATGTGAAACAGTAGCACAGTCCTCCCCGGTGGCAATAACATCTTCAAAGTACACATGGATTATTGAAAATTATTATTGAAAAGTTTCTACACCTCATAGGGAGGAATCCTAAGCAGACCTATGCAGAAGTCAAGTCCAGTGTTCATAGGGTTGCATCCAAAATCTCCTTGCATATTTAGGCAAGTGTCCTCCCCAATGGGTACATTTTCCACACCGTAGATTTTCATGTGAGGCGCATTCATACAAACACTGAACAAATCAAGGAGATGCTGTGGCTCGGTGGAAGAGCCTCTGCTTCACATACAGAAGGTCCCAATTTCAATCCCCAGCATCTCCAGTTATAGGTCCAGGCAGGAGGTGATGTGAAAGACCTCATCCTGAGACCCTGGAGATCCACTGCCAGTCTCAGTAGACAATACTGACTTTGATGGACTGATGGTCTGATTCGATATAAGGCAGCTTCATGTGTGTTCATGTGACCTACTGTGTCGGTGTAATCCTAAATTGAGTTACATCCTTTTTAAGACCGTTGACTTCAATGAACTTAGAAGGGAGTAACTGTGTTTAGGATGGCAACTGTCACTCATTTGAGAGGACTGATTCGCTTAACAACAGGCACCTTTTAAGTCAGTTCTAGTAAAACAGTAAAGAGAACAGAAAATGTACAGCTCAAGGGGGGAGGGGAGTGTAATTAACTATTTATAACTCACCTGGAATAGGCTGGGGGGTTAACACCATTGCAGGAAGAGGCCTGGGGGCAGCAGCCGGCCTAGATAAAGCCACAGCAACTTGATTTGTCATAACAAGAGGCTTCTCGTGTCCTTGGTAGATCCATACTTCCTCAGGGTGTATCCATGCTGAATCCAGAGCAAATGCATTGTTCAAATAGATCTGTCCAGAATGGGAGATTGGGGGGGGGGGAGAAATATATTTATAAAAAATAACACAATTCAAGTGACTGCAATTAGTTTCTTTAATGTTCATTAGATCCTACCCATTATCAGATTTCCCTTGGCTGTCTAATTATCTGAATTCTCTGTGTCTTCCCATATTATCTGATGTTTGTACAACCCATTGTCAATAACACTGTCGAGACAAATATATCTTTAGTACTACGGAATAGGAAATAATTGCACCAGAAGATGGGGGAAAATAGAGCTAGGGTACAGTTCAGAGCGAGCACCTGCCTCCCTTTGGTAACACACAGGAAAATCTGTTTGATTTCAGTGGGTTTTATACATGAAGAACCCGGGAACAGTGGCTTACCCTCTTAGACCAAGATGCTTCCCTTAAAGGAAACAAAACTTCTCCCTTGTAAGAGGCACTCAGCATTATGGGCTGCATTTTTAAAGTCAGATGGTTTAAAACTAAATTGTAGTTTTTCTGGTGCTGATGTTGGTACTGGGGTGGTACTTTTGTTGAAGGAAGAGCCACTTTCGTAGGCAGAAGTCTGTCAGGCTTCCCAGTCAAGACACTCAACAACATTCCTTCAGAAGTTTCAGTTTATTGAGAGCTAGTACTCGGGACACCATGAACACTTGTGTCAGGAATGGCGGGCTAATGATTTGAACCTTCAGATATAGCCCCTTCATACATGACCCCCTGATACAGTAAAGCCAATAGGCAAGCACCTGAAGACACGGGCAAAAAGCAACAGTTACATTCCCAGCGGGAAGCTAGGAGCAGGCAGAGTAAAACCTTCAAGGACACTGGACAGATAACAGCGCACAGCCGAAGGGAAAGGGGGGAAAGGGAGGAGGGAGACAAGAAGAGCAACCCACACATTCCATCCCATGGCAGCCTTAGCTGACATCCTGCCCCCCTGAGGGGCCCCCTCCACCTGGTTTCTCAGGGAACCGTGCATGAAAGTCATGGAGGAGCTGTGGGGCATGAACGTTAGAAGCCTCCACCCACTCCCAATACTCCAGCCCAAAGTCCACCCATTCAGTGAGATAATACAGTCGACCCCATGTCCTCTTCAAGTCCAAGATTTGAGAGTCTTCAAAATGTTGCTCGACATTCACCATCATGGGGGGTGGCCGGGGATGTTGTGGCCGCCAGACGTTGGGCCCCAGATCCTTTTTTTAAAAGGCTGTGATGAAAAGCAGGATGCACATGTTTCAGATTTTTAGGGAGGGCTAATTCAACAGTTACATCATTAATTTTCTGAACCACTGTTAAAAGGCCCCATGTATTTCTACCCCAGTTTTCGGATGGGTTGCAGGCCTTTAATGTTCTTAGCAGAGACATAGACAGAGTCCCCTGGATGCAACTCCCACCCCAAAGTACATTTTTTTAATCAGCTTGCACTTTATAGGCAGCTCTTGCCTTGTCAAGAGTCTTCCCCACAAGGGACCAGGTGTTACGTATGTCCTCACACCAGTCCCCTTTCGCTTCCTGGGCCACGCTCATCAGTCACGAAGGGGCCACGCTCATCAGTCAAGAAGGGCAGAGGGTCCCCCTCATACCCATACACCACTTTAAATGGTGACCACCACCCCGTGGAGTAATGGAGGGAGTTATTGTAACAATATTCAGTGAACAGCAACAATTCCACCCAATGATAGTTCATAAAACATCTCAGAAATTGTTCCAGGGTCTGATTCACTCATTCTGTCTGGCCATACATCTCTGGGTGGTAAGCACTGCTGAGGGCTCGTTCAACTCCCAGGACCTCCAAAAACTCCCCCCAGAACTTGGCAATGAACTGTGATCTGTGATCTGAGATTATTCTACAGGAGGGGGATGTGAAGCCTGATGATGTGCTGCAGGATTTCCTTGGTGGGTGAGCGAGCTGTGGGAACTTTGCAGAATGGGATGAAGTGCATTTGTTTGGAAAACAGGTCTACCACCACCCATATAACGGTCTTACCCTTGCTAAGGGGAAGGTCTGTGATAAAATCCATTGAGATTACTCCCCAGGGTCGACTAGGGGTCGGTAGGGGTTTCAACAGCCCTTGGGGCTTCTCCAGCTGAGGCTTGCACATTATGCATGTTTGGCATGACTGAACAAACAAGGAAATGTCTTTGCGCATGCTCGCCCTCCAAAACTGGCATTGCAACAGGTGTAAAGTTTTTAAGTAGCCCAGATGTCCAGCCAGTTTAGACCCATACGCTGCCTTCATGACCTCCCCCCTGAGGAATGCAGGAACAAATAGTCTTTGTACCAGCAGCCATTTTCCCGTTGCTCCAACACCCTGTCAGACTCCACATCCCCCCGTCCTGTGGGCTCCCCTGGCTGAGCTGATGCCTGGCTGCATGTGGTGATCACCCTGCCGAACTGGGAGGGAGTAAACAGAGTCAGTGATGTCCTCCGGTTGTCTGTCATGCTGGGGGAGGTGCAAGAGGGCGTCTGTTAGGGAGTTAGATTTGGCTGGGAAATGGTGCAAAGTGAACCTGAACTTAGAAAAGAAGTCTGCCCAACAAAGTTGTTTGGAATTCAGGTTCTGCAGAGTGCGTAGCACCTCCAGGTTCTTATGATACATCCAGACCATGAAAGGTACCCTGGTGCCCTCCAGCCAATGTCTCCATGTAGCTAACTCCAGCTTAATAGCCCCCACCTCCTCATCCCACATTGACCAGTTACGCTCAGTGGCATTAAACTTGCGGGACACATAACCAAGGGGGTGCAGCTTTCCACCCTGTCCCTCTTGCAAAATAGCCCCTCCCATGGCCACATCTGATGCATCGACTTGCACTATGAACTTTTTGTTTTTGTCCAGATGGGCCAGCACAGGCTCGGAGGTGAACAGAGATTTGAGGTGATCGAAAGCCTCTTCACATTCTGAAGTCCAATGTAACTGCACCCCGGGCTTGGCACTCTCTGGACCCCTCCCTTTGGTTTTAAGGAGGTCCGTGAGGGGCAGGTTGACCTGCACAAAGTTAGAGAGGAAAGCTCAATAAAAGTTCCCGAATCCCAAGAAGGATTGGAGTTGGCGGCAGGTAGGAGGGGCCTCCCACCCCAGGACATCCCGGACCTTGGCAGTGTCCATCTCCAACCCTCTGGGAGAGATGTGGTAGCCCAGGAAGTCCACCTCGGGCCAATTGAACTCACATTTGGATAGCTTGACAAAAGGTTTATGGTTATAAAGTGTTTGTAACACCTGCCGCACCAATTTCACGTGTGACTTTTTGTTGGGGGTGTATAATAAGATGTTGTCTAGATAAACAAGGACCCTTCTGAACAGGTGCTTGTGCAAGACTTCATTAATCAAGTTCATGAAGACCCCAGGGGCCCCTGGAGACCGAAAGGCATAACCCGGTACTCGAACTGCCCCAGCGGGGTATTAAACACCGTCTTGTATTCGTCTCCTTCCTTAATGCACACCCAGAAGTATGCATACCGTAAGTTTAATTTGGTGAAAAACTTTCCCTTGGCAGCCTCCGCCAGGAGGTCCTTAATCAGGGGCAGTGGGTAAGCGTTGATGGCAGATACCGCATTTAAGCCCCTATAGCCAGTACACAGTCTGAGGCCCCATCCTTTTTCTTCTGGAAGAGGACTGGGGCTGCAAATGGGGAGGAGGCTGAATATCAATGAACTTCCATAGTTCGTCTTTTTCCCCTGGGCTCATGGCATACAGTTTTCCCTTAGGTAATTTCTGGCCAGGGAGTATTTCAATGGCACAGTCAGAGTTACGGGGGGGAGTAGCTCATCTGCCTCCTCCTCTTCAAACACTTTAGCCAAGTCTTTATACTCGGGGGGGGGGGGGCGGGGGCGGGCAGAGAGCTCCTCATGCACCAAGCAAGCTTGCAGAGGTTCCTCTGAAGCCGCCTGGCCCCAATTCTCCTCCCAGGAATGAGTCTGGCATCTCGGTGCAATGAATCGCACCCTCCCTTCATCCCAGACAATGTACGGGTTGTGGTCATGCAGCCACAGGCTCCCCAGCACTTGCAGGAACTGGGAGCCGGGGGTGATGATGAAGGGTCAATGCTCCCAATGATCTCCCACCATCATTTGCAGAGGGACCGTTTCAAATTTACACAACTCTTTCATGTCTGAGCCGTCCATTTAGGTTAATATGATGGGTTTGGGGAGTTTGACCCCTTGAGCCCCTAAGCCCGTAACCAGGGAGGGATTAATCAAATCCCTGGCACACCCCAAGTCTATTAAAGCCCGCACCTTCACATGGGTCCCCAGGTCAGGGTTCATTACAGTCACAAAGAAGAGGAGGGGTAGTTGTTCACCATCTTCAGCACCACATGAGGTGGGACCTGCAGCTCCATACCACTTACAGCAGGTCCTGGTCATTTCCCACTGGCTTATCTTCATATTCGCTGCTGGGCTCCGAATCCCCTTCCGGGATGTTGACTTGGAGAGTTCGTTGGAACTTTGGCTTGGCTGTGCTCTTCCGCACTGGGGTGTCTTGCCATTTCTTCTCTGGTGCTTTTCCCTCCGGAGCTCCCAGAGGCCCCACAGACACCGAGCCGAGTGGTGTAGTGGCTGCCTTCTCCACATCTGAGGCAGAGCCCTTGCTTCATGTGCTGGACCCAAACCCCCTCCTTGGCCTTGCGCGATTTGGGCTTTGGTCCTAGGGTCCCCCCTCTCAGGTTGTTGATCCAGCTGCATTGTCGAGCCGGATCATTTGTAGGCAACTCTCTGTGTCTGCCACCTCCCGCATCCAAGCCATCAGGGAGATTGGGTGCATGCTGCGTAAGATGGTCTCATGAAGCTCAGGGTTCAACCCCAACCAATACTGCTCAGCTAACACCCCATCGGGCCACCCCTGGATCTTGGCCGTGTACCTTTTGAACTCCTCAGTGTATTCTCACACGGTCTTCCGCCCTTGCTTCAGGGTATGCAGGTGGTTGCGTGCCTTTATTTCTTCCATTGGGTCCTCGTATTACGCTCAGAGGGCCCACATGAACACGTCCACATCTCGCAGCTCCAGCCC